AGGGGCCGCTCAGGGATGAGGACCAAACCATCTCTGCCTTACGCCCTCGGGGGATGAGGGACTTTAACCACCAGGCTGAAGGGTGTGAACTGATTGGGGCAGGAACTGATGCTGGGGCCTCAGTGGCTGGAGAGACCCCAGCACAGAACAGCGCCCTGGTGATGGTGGGCGGCACGCACGGAGAGCGGGTGCTGCTAAACATTGCTGGTGCAGAGCGGTGGTATAGAGCCCGGGGACAGGTGCGGGGCGGGCCCACTAGCAGTGAGCACCCTGGTCTCCGCCGCAGAACATCCATCTCGTGGCACGCTGGCTGGGCACCCTGGACAAGAAGGTGGAACGGTACAGCACGGGCAGCCACGAGGACTACCGGGTGTTCATGAGCGCGGAGCCGGCGCCCAGCCCCGAGTCCCACATCATCCCCCAGGGCATCCTGGAAAACGCCATCAAGATCACCAATGAGCCACCCACCGGGATGCACGCCAACCTGCACAAGGCCCTCGACCTCTTCACCCAGGTAGGGTGCGCGCACAGTGCACGGCCGCTCTGTGACGCGAGGGCGCAGGAACCCAGAGGAGGCAGGCAGGCAGTGGCAGGACGGCGTGACATCACCGCGTCCAAGCACAGGGCTCTTTAGTGTCTCATTTTCCTTACATTTTGCAGAAGCATCCTCCATGACAGATGCAGGGGGCGTGGGAGCCTGGTCCTTGGTCCCAGGTCATTTGGATAAGGAAGGACAGGAGTGGCACCTGGTCCAGGCTTGGGGAGTGGGGCGCTGAGGAGGGCAAAGGGCCTCATTTCTGGCACGATGCGGCGGGGAGGGCAGCAGATGGGGCTCAGTTACTCCGAGCTCCCCAGGTGCCATTACCAAAGGCCAGGAGCGGGCCTGCCTAGTCTCTTGTGGGCGTCGGCTTCCCCCGGCAGGGGGGGCCAGGACAGCAAGAGCCACAACGAGGGGGGAGGGAGACCCACGTCATCTTCTGATGACGGGAAAACCCGGGGACTGTCAAGGCCCGTCTGCCCTTGAGAGGAGAGGCTGGCTAGGGCTCCAACTGCCACCTTTTCTCCCGGGGAAGTTCTGTTTGCCCAAGCGAAGCGTTGGGCCCCACTTTCTCACAGTCCTCCCTCGGATCTTCCCAGACATCCCAGGGGATGGAAATTGCCCGACAATACTTTTATTCGAGAGGAGGTTGCAAGGAAGGGAAGGCAGGGGTGCTGGCATGCCGGCAGGGAGACCCCAATGGTACCTGCACCCCGCTCCCCAGGACCACGAGCTTCTGAAACTCAGGGGGGCTGGCGAGTGATGTCCACTGGACCCTGGGAGAAGGAAAAGCAAAGTGTTGAGCCAACCCCTCAGTGCGCCCGCAGGAACTGCCGCCGTTTTCAGAACACAGCAGGCTGGAGAGGCGTCCTTGCAAAGGGAGGGTGGGAAATCCAGCTTCATCCGAAGCCTGCGTGTGTCCAGGAGCCCCCCTCACTGTGCACAGACTGGAGGCTGTGCGCTGCCCCGGGGTCGGCCCTGCAGGGAACGAAACGCTGCCCGGCTCGGCAGTGCCCTGCAGACGGGGGAGGCCGAGAGCCACGGCTCTGAGCGGTGTGCGGAAGTGGGCGGCCGGGCCTTTCCTGGCAGGCGCAGTCTGGAAGCCCCTCCGGAAGCTGTTGAGCCTTCCAGCAGCACACAGGCCTCCAGCGCCGGGTGGGAGGGGGCTGCTGTGCGTGAGCACTGGCCGGGAATCGAACCACGAATGTCACCGCAGATCCACCACCGTCCCTGTGCAATGACGCCCACCGCGGACGCTCACAAACCCAGAGTTCCAGATTCAGAATCTGGGCCGGGTTTGCCTTCCCTGGGGCCGTGTCATGGGGAGACCCTGCCAGTAGTTTTTAAAGAGCTGGAGGACATGCTGAGAATTA